CATCGACTCATTTGTTGAATTACTGAAGCTGGCGACCCAGTGGCACCAGCAAAACCTAGGAGGTATCGACCTGGAACAGTGGCTTTGCGCGAAATCCGACAGTATCAAAAGTCTACCAATCTCCTTTTGCGAAAATTACCATTTTCACGCGTGGTTTGTACAAAATTCGATTTTGCTATTGTTAAATCGGATTTTTTTTTTTTTTTTTACCATATTAATAACATATTATTTTAGGTTAGAGAAATTGCCATAGAGCTTATGGAACCAGATGCGAACGTAGGTTATCGATGGCAGTCATCCGCAATCTTGGCCCTTCAAGAAGGTAATCTAAGTTCTTTGCTGAATAAATACTTTTTTTATCATTTTTTTTACCTTTTTTATTTATTTATTTATTTAGCTTGTGAGGCGTACCTCGTACATTTATTTGAAGATGCGTATGTATATTAATCATTCTAAATGAATTATTTATACGAAATCAAAAATTTTACTTGAGCTTTCAAAATATAGCAATTTATGTGCAATTCACGCTAAACGCGTCACAATTATGCAAAAGGACATCCAACTTGCCCGAAGAATTCGTGGCGTCTGGGGAGGTCTTGGTTAAGGCTGTGACCCAGCCCTTTTTTTTGACTTACAGCATTACTGCATAATTTGGGTTTGGGAATCGGGATTTCTACAAAACCCAAGTATGTGTCCCATTTTTTCGATCAGTAATGTCAAACTCAGAATCAATTAAATTTATTAAATGCGTTATAATAGATACAACAAATATGCATTCAATAATGTTATATCACAGTATATATCGAAAAAAAAAAAAAAAATTTTTTTCTACACGAGTAAATATTAATCCGGTTTAAGTAATAGATGATATCTGATATCAAATAAGTAAATACGGCTTTAGCTATATTAGCATGTAATAATCTTATTATAATATTTCAAGTTAAACTAGACTTTAAGCAAGGTTACCACATTTAGTAAAGAATTTACAAGTTTCGATAGCTTGATTATCGGATCGGAATTTCAAAGTATCTAGCTGTCTCGTGATTACTGCCCAATCAGATTGTAACATTAATGTATAAGAAAATCAAGATGAAAAAGGAATCAAAAAACTCATTTTTAGCACGAAAATTTAGATATATTTTCATTCTATATTTTTTACTAACACGACCATCAACGTTTAGGTACGACTAAGGTTAACTAACAATGTTGTGGATCAATTACGGGTCGGTAATTTTTTGCGTCATGACTTC